GAGGGAGAGGAGGGGAAGGCAAAGGGGAAATCCTAGGGAGTGACATTAGCCAAATTATATCACTGTATCATGTGCATGTATGGATATGCAGCAATGAATCTAAACATTACATGTAATTTTTAAAATATTTTTTAGTTATACATGGAACAATATCTTTATTTCGTTAATTTATTTTTATGTGGTTTTGAGGATCCAACTCAGTGCCTCACAATGAGCATATGGTGGAATCTGAGTTTACAAATTCTACTTACATGATTTCTATTACCAAATGTTCTCTTCTGAGAGAGTGATAGACAAGAAACAACAGATCTAAGTAAAGCAGCAAACTTGCCCATCATCCAAGAGGCCCTGCATAGGATAGTATCTGGCTTTGCTAGATGATTCTGCACACATGGCCTAAACTAAAAATAGACTACTAGAGGTAGTCTATTTCAATGCATGAGTAAATGCTGTTAGACCTACTGAAAGAAATCTGGTTTTCACAGTGGTTCCCTCCTGGGGGTTGACACCATATCTTATTAATTCTAAGATGCACATATATTTTCTATTAATAAAAAAAATCAGTGTGAATCACAGAATTGATGATGTGTTAGTCAGCTTCCTGTTACTGTGACAAAATACCTGAGAATAACAACTTAAAGGAGGACAGGTTTATTTGGGCTCCTAGTTTCAGAGGTTTCCGTGCATGACTGGCTGGCTCCATGGCTTTTAGGCCTGTGGTAAGGCAGAAATATCATGGCCCAAGGGCATGGCAGAGGAAAGCTGCTCACCTCTGGGCAGCCAGGAAGCAGAGAGTGAGGAAGGTGTAGGGACAACATATTCCATCAGTGACCCCTTCCTCCGATTAGGCCCCACCTCCACCAGTCTCCATTACCTCCCAACAGCCTGTTAATTATGAATTCATTGGTGAAACCAGCCTTCATGATCCAATCACTCCCCAAAAGCCCCAGATCTGAACATGCTGTACTGGGGATCAAGCCTTCAACACATAAGCCTTTGGGGGACATTCCAGATCTAAATTATAACTTTGTGTCAGTTTAATAACAGCATTTTTATTTTTTATTGATACATTAAAAATGGTGCTTCTTACAAACAATGGCATCTTAGAATCAGTGAAATGTGGTAATTTTGATCACAGATAATGCCTGCTTAGCCAGCTACCTTAGACCATAATGCCACGTATTATTTTTGTGATTGAATTCTGGGTGGATGATTTCTTTTTTTTTTTCCTTTTTGGTTCAATAACCCAGGGGTTGCTTTACCACTGAGCTACAAAATCCCCAGCCCTTTTTATTTTTTTATTTTGAGACAGGGTCTCCCTACGTTGCTTATAGCCTTGGTAAATTGCTGAGGCTAACATCAAACTTGCAATCCTCCTGCCTCAGCCTTCAGACTCGGGATTACAGGCCTGTGCCCAGCCTGCTACTCTTTTTATAATTAAAAATAAAGCCGTATCCACCCTGTTGGGAAACAAACCCCAAAACCTAGACAGTCTTTACCTGTGAGAGGCTCCAAGTTGGGCTGGTAGAGGGCATGAAGCCCTCTGTCGCCTTGAAGGACTCCTCCTGGCTGATCTGGGTCAGGCTGCCCCGCCCTCACCTATACACACCTGGGCTCCTTCGGCAATAGCTTCTGCAGTCCACCCATGGGCAGGCACAAACTCCAGGGCTGCCGTCAGGATGCGGTCCTGCAATTGCTCCTCACTCTCGTGGTCCTCCTCCTCCTCCCCGCTCTGGTCAGTGTATCTGAAATGTGGGAACAGTGCCCAGCACACTTTATCTCACTCTCTATCGCCTGGAGTGCAAAATGGGCCTGACCAGAAGCCATAGGCTCTGGGTCTCCTCTAAGCACATGCTGGCAGGACATTTACTTCTGTTAGCATGAATGTCGCACTGCCAGCACAGTAAAAATCCCATCATCCTTCCCCTGACACACAGCCAAAGAAAAGGGACCAAGTGAGTTGAGGTCTCGTGACATGAAGGCAACGTTCCCACAGCACCCTGAGCTTCCCTGTTTCCAGCCCTCAGCACACTGAGCTCAGAGTTTCGTTCCCAGTATTTGCAGCAGACTGTAACTCCGTGCCCCCATAAGGTAGAGACAATAGTGTATCATTCATAGGGCTGACACATGGTAGATTCTCAAAAAAATATTTGTTGAATTGAAATGAAAACATTTTCATTAGGAAACCAGAAAAAGATGAAGAAGAACACTCTAACTTCACATCGAGGAACATTCGATTTTCAATGGTAGGATTAGGAAGAAAAATCAAATCTAGTGGAAAGGTAAATCATTATTATCTTTTTGAAAGGTAATTTGGCCTCACATATGTAAGAAGACTTAAATGTAAATCTCTTTTGACTCAGTGCTCCCAACTTTAAGGAAAGTTGACACAGTTTATCACATACTCTTTCATATAACTAAAGGAAACCTAAATAGTCATCAATTTAGGACAGGTTAAATAGATTTTGGCCCATTCCTTCCTGGAATGTTATACAATCACTAAAATAAACTGTGAGGGGTTATTAAAAGTGTACTGTTTTGAGCTGGGCATGGTGGCGCACACCTGTAATCCCAGCAGCTTGGGAGGCTGAGGCAAGAGGACTGTTGAGTTCAAAGCCAGCCTCAGCAATTTAGTGGGGTCCTAAGCAACTCAGTAAGACCCTGTCTCTAAATAAAATATAAAAAAAGGGCTGGGGATGTGACTCAGTGGTTAAGTGCCTCGGGATTCAATCCCCAGTACCGAAAAAAAAAAAGTTACTGTGGAGTGAAAAAACAGGTTCTGAATAGCATATAGAATGAAATCAATCATTTATTATATACACAGATTGATGAAACATGCTTAGAGAAATACCTGAAGGCAAAAATGTCAGCAGGGTTATCTCTATGTGGGGTTTCAGGTAATTTTTGCAACTTCTCTGTATTGTTCAGATGTTTTAGAAAGCACGGGCACCATCTTTATAAAAACAATAGGTTCTTTTCAAAGACAGCTGACAGAAGGTGAGGAGGGGGATGGACAGGAGCCTGAGCCAGGAAGGGACAGATAGAACCAAGCAGGCAAGGTAGCCACAGACAGGTGGGTTCTGGTGCCTACCTGGGAGGTATTCGAGGAGACTCTACATCGGGTTTTTGTGCCCCTGGTGGCTCAGAATGCTGCTGAGAAAAAGATGGGGGAGGCTGTTGCTTCTGCTCCTCGGAAGACCTGAACCCCAAAGCTGAAGCATGGAAGGCACGTGGCACCAGGAGTGTTCGGCAGCGGGACACTGAAACAGAAACTGGGCTGTCAGGATCTTGCATCAAAGAAGACCCTCTGAAACCTAGAGATGCTAAAAGAATGGGGTTGAGGAAATATAGGGCAGAAACACCTCGACAACCACTTATCCAAGTGTTGGATCACACGCAAAAATCTTGGGTAAAATGGAACCTTGCGACATGATGTGTTGGCAAAAACAGTGAGCCAGGAGGAAAATCCTACCTGGCTTCTGGGCCTGTATCTGCATTTGTCAGCTGTGTGGTAATGGCAAACCATTTCACCTCACTGGACAGATTCCAAAATTTTCCTTTCTGCAAAGTTGTTATTGATTAAAATCTGTCCCAAATCCTTTAATTAGTGTCTGGCTTTGTTTATCTTTGACAGATCTTTCGGTTGTTATTGCCTAGTATTATTACATTAGCAAACTCTATCAAGCCACTGGTGCATGGCACAAGTCCGTAATTCTAGCCACTAAGGAGGCTGGGGCAAGAGGATTACCAGTTTGAGGCCAGCCTGGGAAATGGAGACCAAAAAAACCCCTCCAAATCACTATTGTTTTGTTGATGGATACCTGGGATGATTCAAATTTTGACTGTTATGATTAAATGATTATGCATATACTTGTACAAACCTTTTTGTACACACATGCTTTCAATTCTTTTGGATAAATATCTTAAGGGTAGGTCATAGGCATTACTTTTACTAAACATATTACTAGAAATTTGTATAAAAATGACAAAAAGGCACTCATTAAAAAAATCTATAGAATTCAGGGAACAATGAATTCAAAAGAAACAGAATCAGAATCTCTCCCTCATTCATATATATATCTTAGTGGATAAACAGAAGTATCCATAAAACTTTGAAAAAGAGGAAGATTCCAAAATATGTCGGGAATTACTGCAGCTCATGAGAAAATTTTAGGTGAAATGCCAAAGAATATTTCATTAGCTATATATTTATGTTAATGGGTCAATCCATACTATGTTCTATTTGTGGCAAATGATATCAGTTTTCCATTTATGACAGTGATATATAAAGTAAATGTCTATTTTTAGGATACTCAGATGTAGAAATAAAATACTGTGCACATAGCGGCAAAGGTGGTAAAGAGAATGTCACAGAATTAGTGAAGTGCTGGGGAAATGACTGACTTTTAGAAAGCAACAGACTGGACGCTCTCGGTCCAACTGTCCCTCAAGTGATCCGGTCTTGGGATCAAAGGCAATGGACTTGGGAATGGGTCCGCGGCTGACAGTTCTGCAACAGACGAGCAGCGTGATCTGGACTCACTCAACCCTCAGAGGCTCCGCGAACTCCGTGAAATGGGAGTGACAGTCCCTGCCCCGGGGCTCGCGCCCCTAACAGCTGCAAACTGGAGACCGAAGCGGTTAAACGGACCGTTCAAGCTCGAAAAGCTGGCGACTCCGCGCCGATGTCCTTCATCTCACCTTGCTCGCGGGCCGCCACGACGGCCTCTTCCGCCCCCCACCCAGGCCAAGCCGACCTCACTCCCCATCCCAGTTCTTCCCCGCTCCCGGGCTCGGCCGCTCCCTCACCGGGCAGGCACCGCAGCTGTAGGAACCTCCAGCCTGCCTTGCCCAGCACACCCGACGCTGCCGCCGCCGCCGCCATCTTGGGAGCGGGCACGCACGCCGACGACTTGACGTAAAGGGAAACGCCAGGTCGGCTGCGCAGCCGCTCTGCCCTCTTGACACCGCGGAGCCTCCCCCTCTCGCGAGAAGCACGAGACCCGGAGCCGGCGAGCGCGGAGAGCTCGGGAGCCAGCCCTAGCTGTAGGTGAGCGCACTCGGAGCAACCTGAGCGCCCGACATTCTCTAACGGCCTCTCCCGCCACCTCCATGACCCACATCCTCCCATTTCCTATTTCCAGCCTCGTGCCTAGGTAGGAATGTAGCCAAGGCCGCCCCGTGGAGAACCCCGGCGGCGGCGGGCTTATGCCTTGGGAAGCAGGGGGCCCAGCCCGGTCCCGGACCTACTGGCCTGGGCTCTTGACGCTGTGGCTCCCTGTCCTTCCTGGGTTGCCTCGTTTGTCGCTCAGCCGCCCCCGGGCACTGATCGCTGAGGTGGGAAGGACCTGAGCTCGGGCGGGGAGACGGAGTCTGAGACCGGGTTCTACCTCTTAGCCAACTCTTGTGACCTTGGGTCCCATTTCTCCGAAGTTTGCGTCTCTGAAGGTGCCAGGCAGCGGAGCGCGAAAGCTTGGGGCTCCATAAGCCAACAGATGAAATTTGAACCTGTGATTTGTCTGAACCTCTCAAGATATTGAGTCTTCCTCAAACTTGCCAGATAGGACGAATCTTCTAGGATGCTTGTTAAAACGAACACCCCAGTCTTGGTCCTCGAGAGTTGTTATGGTGTCTAGGCGGCAGTCTTGCTTTACCGAGTGCCGAGGGTGGCTTGTAGGATCTGCAAGTTTGGGAGAAGTTGATTGTGTTGCTTCTGGAATTACTAACTGGCCAGGCAATGGCCTGATGGCTCGAGGAGGTCACAGTGTTGTCATTAAAAAATGTAAATGCAGAGCACCTCAGTGGGGAATCATAAGGGTAGGCTAATAGGAAGAAGTAAATGATTTTTGGTTAGGGGTAATTATAGGAGCATGCAATTATGTAAATTTTGTGTTTGCAGATTAGGCCCCATGTTTTTTTTTTTTTTTTAATCTGCTTAAATTGTGTTTTGCTCGGCCCTTGGCACAGGCCTGTAATCCCAGCGACTGGGGAGGTTGATGCAGGAAATCTCAAGTTCCACACCAGCCTCAGCAATTTAGCAAGGCCCTCTATCAAAAATTAAAGGATTCAGGGTGTAGCTCAGTGGCAAAGGGCCACTGGGTTCAGTCCGAAGTACCCCCCAAATTTAAAAAGTTGTATGTACACACCCAGCAACTAGGTTTTTTTTTTTTTTTTAAATATCTTGCTCTCCCCTGCATGGGTGATGGGGGAAGGGGATGAGACCCCTGGGCCAAAATTCTACAAATTTTAGATCCATATCTCTAAATTTAGGTAAAGGAATACTGATCTCTCTCTGAGGCTTTGTTTCTTTTTGTTTATATTTTGCTCTGTGGGTCCCACTATGTTGCTGAGTCTGGTCTAGAACTAATAGACGCAAGTGATCCTATTTACCTCAGTCTCCAGGTGGATGGGACTGTAGGCCTGTGCTCTGCTGGGCTTTGTTTTCTTTATTTCCTTCTTTTTTTGGCTTTATTTATTTAAATAATTTATGCATGCTAGGGATTGAACCCAGGGGCGTTTAAGCACTGAGCCACATCCCCAGCCCTTTTTTAATATTTTATTTTTGAGATCAGGTCTCGCTGAATTCCTCAGGGCTTCACCAAGTTGTTGAGGCTGGTTTTGAGCTTGAGATTTCTCCTCTCTAGCCTCTGAGATTACAGGCATGTAATCCTTCTTAAGAGGGCCCAAATGCCTCAAGATTTGGATAGTGTAAAAATAAGCAAGTATGTTCTCAGACGTTTGCTTTTATTTCCTGCCGTTTTAGTAAAGCCCTGGATATGTGTGTCAGCAGTCATTTGGAGAGGTATCTAATAAGCAAGGTCAATGATGTGACAATGACTTCTATTCCACTTCTTTAGTTATGAAATGGGCCCTGAGTCAGCTCCTAAGTATGTTGACTGAATTTTTTTTCCTTATCTTTTTTTTTTAACATATATAAAGATAAATTCACAACAGTAACACAAAGCTTATGAGGAAAAGTATCACACTTCTGGTTTTTAGATATATAAAAGAACACAGTCTCCTATTTTATGCAGAAAACACCAACTGAAAGTAGGATCTATGCCTATTTGTTAGTATTTAGTAAATGTATTTTATGATCTCCCTTTTGCTGTAAGACTGTTTTGGGAGATATGGAAAGCAAGATATTTACATTTTTCTAACTTACTGACAGTCCCACAAGGATACTAAGATGTCATGAAGTGTAACTCTCATATTAACCATGAAAAATAAGCTTCACATACTTCCCTGAGGAGTCCTAGCAAGTATGGCCAAGGAGGAAGAAAAAGGTTTTATAGGACTATCTAAAGCAAAGGCAAATGAACTAAGCCACAGGAGTGGGAGCCTAACGTACTTAGAACTTTTTTCTTTTTCTTTTCTTTTCTTTTTTTTTTTTTTGGTACCAGGGATTGGACCCAGGTACCACTGAGCCACATTCCCAGCCCCTTTTTAATATTTTATTTAGAGACAGAGTCTTGCTGGGTTGCTTAGGGCCTCGCTAAGTTTTTGAGGCTGGCTTTGAACTTGCGATCCTTCTCCCTTAGCCTCTTGAGCCACTGTGATTACAGGCATGCAGTGCCCAGCTTAGAACATTATTTTATTGAACTCTGTATACCAGACCCTGGTGAGAACTTTGCATATTGTTTCCTTATTTCCCATAGCAGCCTTGCAAAATAGAAGTTACTGTTCTTTATTGATGAGAGATAAACTCAGGAAGGCTAATAACTTACCCATGGCCATGTACCTGATAAGACCCAGTGTAGATAGAACCCCAGGTCCTTTATTTCTTTTTTTTTTTTTTCTTTATGGTGCTGGGGATCCAACCCAGGACCTTGTGTGCGTGCAAAGCAAGCACTCTACCAACTGAGCTACATCCCCAGCCCATATTTCTTATAACTTAACTGCCCAGCAATTTGTATTCTTGTCTTCTCTCACTGGTTCTTTTTTTGTCTTGTTTTGGTTTTTGCCAGTAATCAAAATCTGGACCTTGCACATGCTAGGCAAGTGCTCTATTACTGAGCTTCATTCCCAACCACTCTCCCTTACTGGTTCTTTTGTTGTTGTTGTTGTTACTGAGAATTGAACCTAGGAGTACTTAACCACTGAGCCACATCCCCAGCCCTTGCCTCCCAAGTGACTGGGATTACAGGCGTGTGCCACCATGCCCAGGCCCTGGCTGGTTCTTAAGTGTGAAACTGATCCTAAGTTACCATAAAGATTTTGCAAGAACTCTTCTTCAACATCATGTGACAATTAAAAGCTTAAACATTTTAGTTCTCTCTGGTATTCTTTTTAGGGATTTAAAAGCTGAAATTAAATGACTAAGGAATCCTGCCTGTCTGACACTTGGCATCCTTTTACTGACTGGGGTTTATAATCAGATCAGGATAACAAAGGGTTGGTGTTCACATGAAAACACCATAAAAGGCACAATAGAGAGAAAATGCAAACTTTTGGAATGGTAGAGCCAGATTATGAAGAGCCTGAATCCAGCAGGCTAAGCAGTGTTGATTTTGCTCTAGAAATTAAAACCTTTAATAACTCATTTCTGAAATGAGTAATAACATCAAAGCTCTATAGTGTTTAGGGAGGAACTCTGGTTAACATGATTTGTAGACACTGTTGGGTTTTTTATGCCTTTTTTTTTTTCTTGGTACTGGGGATTGAACCCAGGGGTGTTTATCATTTCTGGTCCTTTTTTATTTCTTATTTTAAATTCTCACTACATCACACAGGCTGACCTTGAACTTGTGTGCTCAGCCTCCAGAGTTACTGGGATTATAGGCATGTGCCATTGTGCTTGGCTAGGAGACTATCATTTGAAGTACACACTTTTATTTTTTTATTTATTTTTAAAAATTTTTTTTTAGATGTTGATGGACCTTTATTTTATTCATTTATTTATATGTGGTGCTGAGAATCGAACCCACGGCCTCACATGCTAGGCAAGTGCTCTACCACCAAGCCACAACTCCAGCCCCCTGAAGTACACATTTTTAAAGAAGGAATAGTGTAGTGGACAGGGCTTAAATTCAGCCCCAGAATGTCCGTGGTGGCATAATTGTCTCTGAGTCAACCACTTCTGCAGAAGCCAGAAGTGTTCCACATAAGATTAATCCATGCTTGACCTTCTACCACCTATTCTGTTTCATTTATTTGAGCTATTTTAAGTCAAATTTAGTGGCATTAATGTTTAAGTAAGGAGGAGCTGAACAGCAACTCAGCTCTTGACCTATTTTCATTGTAAACACTGTATATACTTATCTGCATATCAAATGGAGGAGAAAGTTGACCCTTGGAGAGAAATTTCCATAGTTAAAGTACAGGAAATTCCAGCCCTTACTTTATCCACCTAATGCTTACTGGTTGTGTGAATTGTACATAGTTACCTGCCTCAGTTCCCTCTCTCTAAAATGATAGCAGTATTGTGACAGTGATCCAGTTTATGCTTTGAATATAACCCCTGCTGCTCTGCCACTGCAGCTTATTTTTAAAAAAGGATGTGTTACTTTCTCTTCCTTTTCCCCTGCTCCTCCCTAATCTCAGGGGAAATAGGATTATTTTTCTTCCCCCATCCCAGGCAGTTATCTGTCCTTGAGCACACACTCACCATAGAAATGAAGAAATCCAGACTTTGGGGATGGTACCAGAAGACCTCAGAAATGACTGTCTCCCAAATTAACAAGTGAATTACACTCCAGACAGAGAACATTGGCATGTAGCCTTTGAGTCACCTCTTTAAAAGCCCCCTGTTCCTGCTGATGGGCAGAATCACAGCTTCTGGGACAGGAGTCCCTTTGTTTCTCCTTTGCTAGCAAAGCAATAAACATTCTTTTTCCTTTTTCTCAAAACCATATCCTCGTTATTGAATTGGCATCAGGGACAATGATTGAGCTTTTGGCAACAGTATCAGTTTAAGGCTGTTCTGAGGTCAGCTGAGATAATATATGTAGTGTTTTGAAAAGTCTGGCAATGTTAAATGTTAAAGACATAGTTGATACCATTGATTTTATAGATATGAATGAATTGAATTTTTATACTTTGATGAAAAAGAAAATATCGGTTATTTAATTTGTAAAATTTAGTGTATTCTCTTTTTTAGAAATAGTAAGCTGTGGTTGAGTTATATCTCCATTTATTTGCCTTCCTTGCTGAGTCACACTTCTGCCTAATTAATGCCCTTTGTGTTTTATAGTCTCTTCTTGCTGAGTTATCTCAAAAAAGAAATAGTCTTCCTGCTGCCAACTTCTTACTTGAATCTAATCCCCTTTTCTTGACTCTGCCACATCAGGGTTCCCACCTCCTGCCTTGTTGGAGAATAAAGGGATTAGGAAGCCTTGAGGCCATGGGTTCATTTATTCAACTCCAGAATCTACAATAAGCTTTCTGATGATGTCAGCGTTCCTGGGTGGGAGGTTGGGAGTAGGTTGCCATTCTAATGGCGTTTGGGTTAAATTGCACTGCTGTCTCTGCTCAGTCCTGATTCTCTCTTGGCCAGTAGCTTTTAGGTCTGTCAACACATGAGGAATGGCCGATTTTGGGATCTCAGCTGGCCAGGCTGTGGCAGTGGTCTGGGATAAGTCATCCCCTGTGGAGGCTCTGAAAGATCTGGTGGATAAACTTCAAGTGTTAACTGGTGACAAAGGCCAAGTGTCGGTGGAGAACATGAGCCAGCTGTTGCAGTGTAAGTATGTAGCCTGCTGACTTCAGGGCTTCCAGGAGTTTCCACGGGAGTGCTGCATGTCTGCAGTTCTGTGACATCCAAGTTTTTTGTTTGGGGTAGTACATGAAAGTAGTGGCCAATCACCTTATTGTTTTTCACTTGAGATATGTAGTAGCCTTAGGAGTATAGTTGATTTTTATGTGTTCTTTTTCCTTAGTAGCTGTTCCACTTTTTTTTTTTACTTTTTACTTTCGGAGCACATGAAAGAATATGAAATTACTGAGTCTGGAGGAGAGCAGGCAGAGCCTCATGCCTGCTTTGCTAGTGATGGTGGTTTAATTGTGCTCACTAGACCGGTAGGGTTTCACTGGCCTGGGCAGGAGGCGGAGCTTCTGTGGGGGCTTGGGAGGGGTTGGGAGGCTGCTTCAGGGTCTCAGGTGATGGCTGACTATCTTCCTTCTTTTCAGCTGCCCACAAGGAATCCAGCTTTGACGTTATCTTGTCAGGTGTAGTCCCAGGAAGTGTGACTCTGCACAGTGCTGAGGTTTTGGCTGAGATGGCCCGGATCCTTAGGCCTGGGGGATGTCTTTTCCTGAAAGAACCAGTAGAGACAGCTGTAGGTAAGGAAATCTTCACTTGAAAAACTAGAGTGGGCGGGTTGATGGGCATGCTTGCTAAGTCTTTCTGAATAAGAGATGCCATTTTGGAGATCAGTATTCCTGTCGCATAGCCTCTCATCAGGGATAAATTATTGATAAAGACTGAGGAAATAGATCAAAGAAATTCCAAACTTTGGCTGACCCAGTTGGTAATAAAACAGAAGGAAACTTAACTACCACCTACAAATGGATGGGTCATTCAGCAGGTGAAAGGTCAAACTTTGGTATGTCTGTAGTGAGGAGTTGACTGATCTATGTGTCAGTTTGTGTGGCTCAAGAGAAGTGTGCAGAGAGGAAAAGTCAGTCTCAAAAGTCTGTATATTTCTATTAATATTCTTGAAATAGCAAATTATAGCACAGAGAGCACATCTCAGTTTTCCAGGGAGGGAGAAAGTGCATGTGGTTTCCTGTAGGTAAGGAAGGATTTCTTCATATTTTGAGAAATGTTAGCTTGCACGAGATGAGATAAAGGGGTCCACAAACCTCCCTGAACATTTTTCCCCCTAGGAAAATTAAACCCAGGGCCTTACACTTGCTAGGCAAGCATTCCACAACTGAGCCACGTCCCCAGCCCAAATTTAATATATTTTATTATATTTTTTTTATTATTATTGTTATTTCAAAATACAAAGTTATTAGAATAACAACTGGAAGTCTGAGACTGGTGAGGTAGATTTGAGTCATGTGAAATTAATGGCAGTGTCGAAGAAATAAAAACCTCCTTTTTGCTCAGGGGTGTAGCTGTCAGAGACCTTTAATTATGTATCTGATTTTTAGCATTTTCCCCTGGTCTTTCAATCAAAATGTGAGGATTTACTTAATCAAATAAAATAATAGAAATGAAAGGATTTGGAAATGTATAAAAGTATCCATTACTTTTATGGAACTAGCAGACATTCTTTGCTGGATGACTAAATATAGTGTTTATGACAGAACTTTAATTTTTAAATTAAAATGCTGTTACTGCACTCTGTACACCTTGGACTCTGGGGCTGGGCCTGCTGACTTGCATGGGGAGAGCCTCTAGTATTTTTCCTGCTCTGACCTATTAACTGGGGATTTCCTCTTGGCAGATAAAGATAGCAAAGTGAAGACAGCGTCTAAACTGTGTTCAGCTCTCACTCTCTCTGGTCTTGTGGAAGTAAAAGAGGTATGCATTGTGTAGACAACCTTATTTGCTATGAATTTAAACCTTGGGTGGCCACATTGAGCCTGCTTGTTAGAATAATCAGGGGTCAGTATTGCAGGGAATGAAGAAACGAGTTCAGCCTTTCCATGGGTGGACATATGTGCTGCCTAAAGGAGAAACCGCAGGCAGCAGAGCTCTTTGAAGAGACTCAGCAGGACCCATGGGGACCACTTGTTCTGGTCGCCCAGGAACTATTTGGTGGTGGTAGCAGTGTGGTGAGGAGAGAAGGTGACCTGCTGCTTCGGATCCATCTCTCAGTGGACACAAATCCTAGGCCTGGGTGAAACGCTGTCTTCTAGACAGCCTGCCACCACTCGTCAGGCTGGTAAGAGTTGAGGGAATATCATGTTTGAGACCACTCAGCAGAGATGTTCCTGTGCAGCAGGGGTGTTTATATTTCCACGCTCCTCTCTGATGCCAACATGGTCTTGGGTGTGGGAGAGGTAAATGTTATCCTGTGCTAGCTTATAGCTGATTTCTTATAGGCCTTAGATTGTTTTGCCATACTTGCTTATTTTTCCTTTTAAGATTTTCCATGTTTGATTTTAAAATAATGAATGTTCATAAAGATTCAGTTTATACTGAAAAATATAAAATTTGAAAGTGAAATACCAGTCATTGCTCACACTCCCTCCCTCCTCAGAGGAAGCATTTTGTGCATCTGTTCAGAATTTCTCTTTTGTACTTACTACCATATGCATAAACTTCTTTTTTATGTAAATGATGTATGTCAGTGTAGTTTAGTCACTATATTTTTCCCATCTTTAAATATTTTTGACACTTATTCACCTTAGTATGTTTTCCCTTATTTTTGTGAATGATATAACAGTACTCCATGCCACAGATGGACTATGATTTAACCATTCAAAAATTAGTGGACCTAGAGCTGGCACCCTGGCCCGTTTTTTCCTACCTTTACTATCTGCTCTACTTCTCAAGGAATATAGAAAGGATTCCTTTCCTCTTTTCTTCTTTTTTTTTTTAATATTTTTTTTTTAGTTGTAGATGGACACAATATCTTTATTTATTTATTTTTATGTGTTGCTGAGGATCGAACCCAGTGCCTCACATGTGTGAGGCAGGCGCTCTACCACTGAGCTACAGCCCCAGCTCTCCCCTTTCTCTTTTAGGATATAAATTTCTGCTATCTTCACTGTGAATAGGCTTCTCTGTTATTCAGCAGGACCGTGTCTAATTCATCTTTGTTTTTTTTTTTTTTTTTGTTTTTAATTTTTATTGGTTGTTCAAAACATTACAAAGCTCTTGATAATTCATCTTTGTAATCATAATTATTAAACACAAAGACTAGCATAATGCCTTGAACCTAATTTTCATAAGTACTTTAAAACTTTCCAAAGGTAGACTCTCAAAGCAAACATGCCAACAAAACTATAGTTTAGGGTTCTGATCAGTGAACCTGAATGTGTCATGAAAAGTGACGTTAGGCTAGGCATAGTGGGCCATGCCTGTAATCCCCACCACTCAAGAGGCTGAGGCAGGAGGATCACAAGTTCTAGGTAAGCCTCATCAGCTTATTGAGGCCCGATTGATGTTCCCTTCTGCTATCATATACTTAATACACAGGACGAGTGTTTAACCCTGTGTGGATGAACATAGTAAAACGTTTGATAGAAAGTGTGTGGACTAATTCCTTTGATATCTTGAATTCCAGCTGCAGCGGGAGTCCTTGAGCCCTGAGGAGAAGCAGTCTATCCAGGAACATCTGGGCTGCAGCAGTGAGAGCCTGCTCTCTGTTCAGATCACAGGCAAAAAGCCAAACTTTGAAGTGGGTTCTTCCAGTCAGCTTAAACTTTCTACCACCAAAAAGTCTCCTTTGGGTAAGTCTGGCCTGGGTACATTCTTCTGTGTGACTGGGGCAGGGAAACATGTTAGAAATTGGGTGAGCGATCTAAATATTTTTAGAAGATTATTCCTTTAATTTTTGTCATTTCCAGAGCACAGAATGCTCAAATATTTCTATTCTGGGTGTATCAGGATACAGACCTGATATAATACATAAATATTGTCTAGCTCAGCCCCTTCTGCACAGAGGACATTGAGGCTTCCTCATTCCGGAGGCTGGAGTCACATAGCTAGTCAGTGAAGTCTTTTTAGGCCCCAGAGATATGGGGTATGCTATTTCTCCTCATGGCAATAGCAATAGAGATATGATACCCAGTTTCTGTTCCCACAGCTTTTTTTGTATGCCTATTAAGTCAGCTTTTCTAACTTTGAGGGTCCTATAATACCTTTTTTTTTGGTGCTGGGGATTGAACCCAGGGGTGCGTCACCGCTGAGCTACAGTCTCAGCCCTTTTTTTATTTTGAAAGAGGCTCTAAGTTGCTGAGTGTTTTGCCAAATTGCTGAGGCTGGCCTTAAATTTGTAATCTTCCTGCCTCAGCTTCCCAAATTGCTGGCATGTGTCACCATATCCAGCCCTGTCATTATTTTCAATGTCTGAGTTTCTGTCCCAGCTATGAGAAATACAAAATTTGATCGGTATTTACTGGCACATCCGTGTAGCACACTTTTGATTGCCTAGTCTAAATCTTAGGAAATCCTTTGGAATCTGACTTTTGGATTCATAGTTCTAATGGGTGGACACAATTAGACGATGGAAAGTCTGAGCACCTCATTGTAACATCAATCCCTGGGGAGTACGCTTGCCCTAAAAGCCTTTCTGAGATTTTCCCCCACTCAGTCCCAGGCCTTAGCCCTCTCAGCCCTTCCTTGCCTTCTTCTGACCTAGACAGAGAATCAGGAGGTGTGAGGGGTGTCTGCAACTGTGATAGCTTGCCACCAATAGCTCTAGTGCATATTTTCTTAAATAGCAGTTTAGGTGAGGTTAGGTTTTGCTATTTATGAATTCTGACAGATTTCTCATTTAATTCTCAAAATAGATAGAGGAAACTCGGTTTAGCTCCATGTTATAGGGGTGGGAACCAAGATAAAAAGGAGAAGCAACGTATTTGTATTTATGACCTCATATAGCAGGCCTAAGTCTAAATCTGTTTTCACAGGTATAAAATTAGGATGACAAAAACCTCACAAGGTTGTGAGCAAAATTGAGTTGATGTATATAAAGTGTTGTTGTAGTGTCTGGAACAAAGGACGTGCTAAACAAATGGCTTCCAAGGTCATGCCTCTTGTATAAGTGGTCAAGCTGGACCCAAACTCTGCTCTTCTCAGAAGAGTCCAGTAGTTCTCTACAGAGTCCATAGAAAGCACTTGAGTGGCCAGGTGCAGTGGTACATGCCTGTAATCCCAGTGACTCAGGAGCCTGAGGCAGGTGGAGCACAAGTTGAAGGCCAGTCTCAGCGACTTAGTGAGGCCCTCAGCTACTCAGTGAGACCCTGTCTCTAAATAAAATACAAAATAGGGCTGGGGATACGGCTCAGTGGTCAAGTGCCCCTGAGTTCAATCCCTGGTCCCCTGCCCCCGTCCTCACCCAAAAAAAGGAAGTGCTCACATCTACGAGTAGTTTGTTGCTGTTTATGGAACTCTTTTTCTTTTATTGGTTGGATTCAGTGAAACCTGCTGTGGACCCTGCCACTGCCAAGCTCTGGACCCTCTCAGCCAATGACATGGAGGACGAGAGCATGGTGAGTTGGCACTATGGTCACTTGGCCTCCTCCTTCCAGGCACCACTTTGGGTGTAAACAATTATAGTTTGGAGTGACCATTCTGGACCTGTAGGTATGAACGTATTCAAAGTCCAGCATTGTGGTTGTGCCTGTCATTGGAGTCTTTGATTTCAAGGGCACTCCCTGTTGGTGGCATTTTAAATTATTTTTTACTATCTCTTTTCCCCACAGATTTTCTTATTCTCATTTATGTGATACATCATACACTTATGTGAACATGTGTAAACCAAAAAAAAGAGTTTGTGAGCTAAAATGTTTTTATTGGCTCTTTTGGACAAGTCACTGTATGTTCACTGTCTTAAAAGCAATACCTTAAGCTGGCTTTGCTGCTGCATGCCTGTAATCCCAGCTACTCAGGAGGCTGAGGCAGGAGGCTGCAAGACCAGCCTCAACAACTTAAGACCATATCTCAAAATCAAAAGGACAAGGGATATAGCTCAGTGGTAGAGCACTCCTGGGTTCAGTCCCCAGTACCAAAAAGAAAAACACCAAAAACAGTCCTTGCAAACATTGATCAGCTCTGTCTATAATAAAGTTCTTTATTTCTGTGCTTCCATGATTAAAGTTAAAGTAATGGTTAGCATGGGTCCTAGTTCACACCTTCATAGAACTTACAGACCCACTGTGTGCTTGTTTACAAAGAATTACACAAATACATGTGTAATCATTTGACTTTGGACTTACGTGGAAAATATTTCACTCCCTTTTTCCCGTGGCTCTTCCTACACTGGACTAAGTGTAACCCTTCTCTCTGCCCTGCCTGCTTCCACCCTTCCTACAAGTGCACGTATTCTCTACGCATTGCTGGCAGTCTTGCAGGAATTTCTCATGTAATTAGTTCCCAATTCCCTTACATCCTGGTGCATTTTTGTGAACAGTTGGCCTCTTGAGTGTGTGGTCTGGTTGAGCATGACGACCAACCCGAGGAGGACAGGGTGAACGGTGCACATTTGCTCTCACAGCCTGTGATTACTTCAACTTTTTATTAGAGAGACCATGTCGGTGTCACTAATTGCTTTGAACATTCCAGGATCTCATTGACTCAGATGAGCTACTGGATCCAGAAGATTTGAAAAAACCAGATCCTGCTTCCCTACGGGCTGCTTCTTGTGGGGAAAGCAAAAAGAGGAAGGCTTGTAAGAACTGGTAAGTGCTGGAGTAAGTTGTCACAGTGTCATACTCTTTAAAACATGCTTACTGTGAAATGCGTATTGTATAAGGCATGTATTAAATAGGTGCATTTTAAAGAATAATGAACACCCATGTATTGATCACCCAGTTTAAGGAAGAGAAATATTTACTGTTACCTCAGCTGCATCTTCTTTCCCACAAGAGGTTACTATTCTCCTGAGTTTGTGTTAATCATTTCTACTTTTTAATTAGGGCATAATTAATTGTATAGAACAATGGGTTCCATTGTGGCATATGTGCATATAACACTTTGATCATATTTACCCATCTGGTTTTTGGTTTTGTTGTTGTTGTTTTGTAGTTGTAGATGGATGGCGTGCCTTTGTTTCATTTTATGTGGTGCTAAGGATCGAACCCAGTGCCTCACACATGCTAGGCAAATGCTCTGCCACTGAGCCATAACCCCAGCCCCGCATGTGGGGTTTTTGATAGTTGACCGCCTATGTGTGAAAATCTCCGTGTGATATTGTTGAAAGAACTGAGTAGAAAGCCCACTCTGACTGTAAAGGACAGGTCAGTATTGAGCATGACATGGAGGCTCCCCAGGAAGGTCAGCTGAACAGGGTCTTGGGTCATGGATTATTTGGTGTCAGCCTCTTTAAAAATCTAGAAGAGCCCCTCTGGAAGTGAGGAAGAGTCCTGAGAGAATTGAAGGGAACCGAGGCCACAGTGTGGTGAGCATTGGGCAGGGTTCAGGAGGTGCAGTTAATAATGAGGGTGGGGAGGCTGCTGCAAGCTTGCTGCAGCCCACGCTCTACTTTCGGGAGTGGGTCAAAGCAGAGGTGAGCGTCCTCAGTGGTTCCGGGCCTCAGAGTGTGTGTGTGGCAGGGCGGGAGGGAGTTAAATGTTACCAGCCCATGTTTGAAGTAAGCCAGGGACGGCAGCCTTCGGCGTGTCTGTCTTCATGTGACTGTCACAGAACTGACATCCTGACCTCCCACTTCACTGTCCTGAGGAGTCCCTCCTGCTCCTGTCCTTCCTCCTTCTTGTTTTTGTTTTGTGTGTGTGTGTGTGTGTGTGTCAGTGGAGTGAATTCTTCTGTAGTACTTTTTGAAATCCTACTTAGAAGGTAAGTTTTGCTTAAGACTTCGTATGTATGAAAATGTCTTTTTCCTACTCTTGGATAATTGGTAATTTGGGTACAGAAATGTGGGCTGAAAATTATTATTTAGTTTTGTTGTTTTCTTTCTTCAGATGATTCTGATAAAATATCCCTGGGTTTTTCATGGTTAAGAGTGGCAGGCAAGGGGGCTGGGTTTGTGGCTCAGTGGCTGAGCGCTTGCCTCGCATGCGTGGGGCACTGTGTTTGAACATCAACGCCACGTAAAAAGATAAATAAATAAAGATATTGTGTCCATTTACAACTAAAAAATATTTTTAAAAAAATGGCGGGCAAGAGCTAGCTGGCTGCTCTGAGCCTGTAGGTGGATTTTGTATATATTGCAGTTGGTACAGTATATTTATTTATTTCTATGTGGTGCTGAGGAAGGAACCCAGTACCACACACGTGCCAGGCAAGTGCTCTACCACTCAGCCCCAGCCCCTGTAGGTGAATTTTATGAAGGGAAGCCAGGCAGGCCTTTGGGGGGACAGTCCAAACTCTTTATCTTTGAACCTTTCCCCTTTTAACCCTCTCAGGAGGATCTTCTTGGCACCCCCACCCCCACCCACCCCCGCTCTGAAGGCAGTGCCAGATCTGCCAGGGCAGTGCCCTCTTCCTCTCTGCTTTGGTTTCCAGCTGCATCACAGTTGTCTTCTTTCCAGTTTTCTGTCGTTGTGGCTCTAGTCTTTGCTGAAGTTTGGTGGGGTCGGAAGGAGAGTGAAACTGGGGTACCTGCTTCAGTGCATCTTCTGAACCTGCAAGCCTTGGTGTTGGTATTTTACAAGTAAATAGAACGGTGGTGAAACTCTTGGACTGTTGGCTGCAGGCTTTTTGAATTGTCAGTGATGTTTTGCTTTAAGTGTGCAAGTTGCTTGTCACTTAAGAGTGAAGTAGAACTCCAGACTTTTCCCCTCTTGGATCTGCTTTGCACCATGATGGGCAGGCTGAGCAGTGGCGCCCTCTGTAGCAGGTGCTCCCCAGCACAGCCCCACCCACCTCCTGCTTCCCACCACCTCTCTCCCAGCAGCCCCCTGCCTGTGGCTGCTGTCTGCCTGACCTTGCAGGCATTTGAGTCGAAACCCTGGTAATGAGGAAAGTCTTTGAGCACATTTTGGTACTGTTGTGGATTTGGACTTCCTGGGTGGTAGCATATCTCATTCATCAGCAACTGTTTTCCCCTAGCACCTGTGGCCTTGCAGAAGAACTAGAAAAAGAGAAGTTACAGGAACAGAAGAATGCCCAGCCCAAGTCAGCCTGTGGAAACGTAAATATCGGGATCGTTACTCAGCATTTGCAAAACCCCCAGTGGTATCAGGCATCACCCTAAACTAAGCACAGACTGGCTCCACCTCTAAAGGATCACCTGTCAAGTGCTCTAGTACTGGGCCAGCATGGAAAGACGTGCGTGTTAGGTGGTTGTGGGAAGAGGCTGACTCCCTACATGCTCACACGTGGGGAGGACTCTGGTCACTTCTTACTTGGCATCCCTAGTCCTATTTACTTATTTATTTAAATTTGAGATAAGGTCTTACTAAGTTGCTGGGGCTGACCTCTAATTTTTGATCTTTCTCAGCTTCCCAAGTCACTGGGGTTATAGGTGTATACCTCCAGGCCCGGCTTGGCCCCTTTCTTTCTACAAGTCCACTCAGAGTGGGACTTGATGTTGTTCAGCCCTAGGGCTGAGCTTGGCTATGACTTGAACTGCTTAGAACATAGACATGTGGCTGGGCCTGGTGGCGCACACCTGTAATCCCAGCAACTCCGGAGGCTGAGGTAGGAGAATCGTAAATTCAGAGCCAACCTCAGCAACTTAGAGAGTCCCTAAACAATTTAGCAAGATCCTCTCTCAAAATAAAAAATAAAAATGGCTGGGGATGTGGCTCAGTGGTTGAGCACCCCTGTGTTCAATCCTAGTACAAAAAAAAAAAACTATATCCATGACCTGTGAAAGGGTACTTAACTTAGCTATTATTTTTCATGCAACTAGAGATCTTAAAAATTACTAGTATTTGGGTCCCAGTCCCTCCTCCTGGCCCGCATCTCTGGGGTGAGCTGGCTCTTGGGTTCCCCTGCATGATTGCCTGTTCTCTCCTGACAGTGCTACCTGGGCGATGCTTTCCGCTGTGCCAACTGCCCCTACCTTGGGATGCCAGCCTTCAAACCTGGCGAGAAGGTGCTGCTGAGTGATGGCAATCTTCACGATGCCTAGGAGGACCCATGGGACACATCTGCTCCTCCACCACCTCCTGTCCCTCAGATCCCACCACTGTGGCTCCTCCCACCTCCTTGGACTCTCTGGCTCTCCGTTGGAAATCCCTTTTCAGGGAGGGTGCTTGTAGACAGGGAAGCTGGCTGTGGGTGCAGTGGTGTGTAGTGCTGCTGTTTGTGTGCAAAGACCCAGGCTTGGTTGCCTGGCTTCCTGCAGGGGGGGGCCTCTTTCCTCATCTAGTGTTAGGAGAAGGGAGCATGCCCAGAAGAGGCCCCCCTCCTGGTGTTACAGAAGCACTGAGCAGACACTCTCGAGCCCACACATCCTTGAGTGTCTGTGCTCTGGGACGAGCTCCAGGCCCTGCCCCCGTCCTAAGCTCAGTTACCCTGCCACGTACCTGTCTTCCCAAGTTGGTGGTTAACTTGATATGCAGTTTTTAGTGACGAGTCAACTGTCTAATGTCTCAACACCAAAGGAGTCACTCACAGGTTACTGTGATCCCATCCCATGTCTCTCTACCCCTTCCCGCCCCCTCACTTTAGTGTTGCATCTGTGTCCCGTGTCATTTCTGTTCCTCTATAGGTATTAAACGTGCATACTTCTGTGTATCCATTGTAAAGAGAGGCTCTGTACGTGTGTGTGATATCTGTCACAGACATCCAGTCAGTAGGGACCATGAAACTGTCTTTCTGGAGGAGCTTAGTGTCTCCCCACAAATAGGGCCAGTGCTGTACTATAGTATAGCCTCTCTCCTCTACTGTGGAAGAGTCCAGGTTAGTAAGAATTTGGAGAGAAGTAGGAGAGCACTCTAAACCAACTGAAGTCTCTGAGCAAGAGACCCCTTTATTCTCCTCATGACCCACCCACAGAGATCTGGGAATCCATCTTGCCAAATATTTGAAGAGATTGTGTGGATTTCAAAAGTGTTGATTCTCTCAGTTTGCTTTTGCTTACCCTGGTCCACACTGCTGGAGTTATGGCTGTGACTAAATTCTAGCTGGATTCCAAATCCTTTGTGGGAGGCAGAGTTTTGGAGACAACCATTGGCCCCTGCCCTGTGTGACCTTGAGTTTGAGCAAGACCTGTGAATGCACTAGAATCTCCCTTCTGGGATTAGGTGAGGTTCTATGGCAAAAGTAAAAGGATTTTGCAGAGATACTTAAAATCCTTATGGATTTAATGAAAAGGAAGATTATCCTGAATGAGCCTGCCCACAGTTGATCCTTTAAAAGAACTTAGAGAAGGAAGAGCTTGCCTTACCCGCCTTGTAGGGATCAGCACGACAGTGTGAGAGGCCCGTGGGGCAAGAAACTCCTAGTGCAGACAAGTCCCGAGCACACAGTCCTCGGGAAAATGGGGACCTCGGTCCTTTGGAAGAACTGGAGTTCCAGGTGAGAGCACAGCCTGCGATGCCCTGATAGCAGCCTTCTGTGCCTGGACCTCAGACAGAGACTGGGAACAGGGCTGGGAGGTAGCTCAGTGGCAGAGCACCTGCCTGCAATGCGCGAGGCCCTGGTTCCCTCCCTAGCCCTGCAAAGTAAAACAGATGCTTGTTTGATGCTGGAGAAGTTGAATGAGAAGAAGATAATAAACAGGTGTGTTAAGCAGCTATGTGTGGTGATTTATTTGCACAGCATCAAGAAACTAACATTGATGTGTTGATCAAGCTACAGAGCCATCATTGTCGCTTCTGCTGCAGTTGCCAAGACAGACATCTCAACCTCCAGGTTGAGGACAAGATCCTAAGCCAAAGAGCTTCTTAGGATGGGTTGAGCAAATCTGTCAGGGAGACCGGTGTCCACGGGGCCCAGCAGGGAGCCAGCTCAGCCGGGACCAAGAGTGACCAGAGAGGCCTTGTCTTTGAACAGTGCACATCTGGGCCTCGAAGCCTGGCTGCAGCTCTGCCCTGTGAGGGGACAGAGAAGGGGACTCTGACTTTGGAAGACCACAATTTTGAGGGCAGGTTTTGACCTTTTTCAAGCTCACAATATTGAAGGCAAAAAGTGGTCTCAGATGATCACCAAATTAATCCGTTTGCATTTGAGGAAACAGACCAGAAGGGTGACCTGCTGCCACCAATCACCTGATGACCCTTTAAAGTCTTTGGCTCAGAATCTGCTGGTGTGCATTTAGAATTCTGTTTGTCCCCCTTCTGAAATATTCAAAAGCAGCAGGTGGGATGGGCAGTGAGGGTGAGTGAGCTGTGTCTTCCTTAGGGTGAGGGGCAGCCAAGGGTCCGAAGGGCTTCGAAGTGTGGAGGAAGAAAAGGGGAAGAGGCTGCAGACCTGCTCCAGTGAGGCGCCCTTGGGTTGCAGGATTACGCCTGGTTGTAGGTGGCGTCCAGCAGGGCAGAGGGGAAAATCCCCGCTTCTGGAAGCACCTTGGCTGTTGGGCTGGAGGAGAGGGGGAGTTCCGGGGGACAGTGGGACAGCCTTACAGCTGCCCACCTCTGTTGGGAAGGGGGAGGGGTGAGGTTGTGGCCAGGTGGGAACACACTACTGGTTGGGATCACTTGGGCATTCATCGATGGCTGCATATTAGAACCACCTGAGTAGTTTTCAAAACCACCTGTGCCTGGGTTTCCCTTCCAAAGACCAATCACATCAGATTCTGGGAGCAGGGCCGACAGGCAGCAGTGTTTTTGCAAAGCTTTCCCAGGGATTCTAAAGTGCCTCCAGGGGGCTGGGGTTGTGGTTCAGCGGTAGAGCGCTCGCCTAGCACATGCAAGGCCCTGGGTTTGATCCTCAGCACCACATGTAAATAAATAAAATAAAGGTGTTGTGTCCAACTACAACTAAAAAATAAAGTGCATCCAGGGCTGAGAACCGCCACCCTAGAAAAATTCATTCACACATGCACCAGAAGATAAGCTAAAAATATCCAAAGCAGCAATATTTGTAAGAAGAACCTGGACAACCCAAGCAGATATTTTTTTAATATTTATTTTTTAATTGTACACAATACCTTTATTTATTCATTTTTATGTGGTGCTGAGGATCAAACCCAGGGCCTGGCATGTGCTAGGCGAGTGCTCTACCACTGAGTCACAACCCCAGCCCCCCCAAGTGGATATTAACAAGAAAATGGCTGAGTTTTGTGGCCTCATGGGACACTCAAGCGGTGGTGGGCTCCAGCTGTGCACACCTGTGTGCAAGCCCCAGAACATGGAGCAGCAAGAGCAGGGCACAGAAATATGTGTGGACTGCATTATCATGTATATGAAGTTGAGAAGGTCAAAACATTGAAGGCGCAGCAGTGGTCATCAAGGACACAGGCGTACTCAAAACACACACAGGTACAAAATGGAAGCTCACGGAGATGGGCAAACACAAGGTTCAGGACTACAGTTGGTTCTGGAGGGAGATGGGAGCGGGAAATGGGCCTTCCGAGTAGCAGGAAGGTCTTCATTTTGTTTGGGGCTGGAGAGGGAACCCAGGGCTTCACACATGCTAAGCACTTGCCCTGCCCCTGAGCTGCACCCCAGCCCTTGAGGCTTCTGTTCAGCTGGGTGGTAGACCATGTTAGTTATTGGCTTGTATGTCTTTCACACGGATTATGGGTTCTGTTTGCTTATTTGTTTTTTGTGGTACTGGGGATTGAACCCAACATTGCTCTGCCACTGAGCTACATCCCCAGCCCTTTTTAATTTTTATATTGAGACAGGGTCTCACTGAGTCACTGAGGCTGAATTTGAACATGTGATCCTCCTGCCTAGGCCTCCCAAGGAGCTAGAATTGCAGGCATGTGCTACCACGCTGGCCTTACACATACATTATGTGTTATGCTCGAATTCGGGACCCCCAAAAGACCACCAGAGACCAAGATCAATGTAAACAGCAAAGAGGTGTTTATTTTGAGCTAGCTCGGTCCTCCGCGTGCACACAGCAACTGGTGACGCTGAGAGGCCCCGAGCCCAGGGTTTGCAGCAGTTTTATACATTCTTTGGAGAATGCAGGGATCCCCACATACATCATAGCATCTCTTAGCAAATCATCACACACTGCGGGAAAATCAAATAACAACTCTAAAAAATGATTACCACATTCACTGGCGGGAACAAGTTGGGTAGGGGTGGTTACTACAAGAGGGGGATTCATTTGAACTGATTGGTTTAAGCCAAGAGGGGTGTTCGTGCTGAACTACATGGTTTCCCAACACCATAAACTACTGGGAGGGTCATCTGGCATCCCAGGTATTTCCCTGTCTCATGCTGATTGGTGGCTGCTAGGGGATTGCTATGGGTCCCCACCTAGCCTGACTGAGTCAGGGACACCTGGTGCAGCAGATCTTTCCTGTTATTTGTAGATAAACAACTTAGCAGGGTGGGAATGTGCCTAGGAGTGCTCTGTGGGTCTTTCCAAGGACAAAGGTCATGTCCCTTCCTTGGACAGGCTTTGCTCTGAGGTAGAGGCTGGTTTTTCATTGTATGTTATATTTATAGAAAACTTAATTAAAAAAAAATAGGAAAACATAAAACTCAGTTTTAAGGAAAATGTCCATGAGCTAAAACAAAGTCCCGTGCCTCCCAACATGAACCTACAGGGACTATTTGGTGCAGTTATAATCCCACTGAGTATTTAAAAAGTGGAGCCAGCACAGAATCCATGTAAAGATACCACATGATCATGGTAATAATGACAACAGTCCCCAAGGGAGGGGCTGGAGTGTCACTCAGCCTTAGATAGTAGAGCACTTGCTGAGCATGTGCCAGGCCTGGGTTCCATCCCCAGCACCGCCAAACCAAAATAAATAAATAAATAAAAGGAAAACCAAGAGAGAATGTCACCACACAAAAGCAAATGAACACTATGACCAAAAAAAAAAAAAAAAAAACTTTAAAAGAAATATATATACATTTTTTGGTACCAGAGATTGAACCCAGGGGTGCTTAACCACTGAGCCCCTTTTTTTTTTTTTTAATTCTTTTTTAGTTGTAGATGGACACAATACCTTTATTTGGTGCTTAGGATTGAACCCAGTTCCTTACACGTGCTAGGCAAGCACTCTACCACTGAGCCACAACCCCAGCCCATCCCCAACCCATTTTATATTTTATTTAGAGACAGGATCTCACAGAGTTGCTCAGGCCTCCCTAAATTGCTGAGGCTGGCTCTGAACTCGAGATCCTCCTGCTTCAGCCTCCCGGGCTTCTGGGATTTCAGGCGTGCACCACCACACCCAGCAAGACCAAGTTTTGTAGACATTACACAAAGACATAAAACATGGTGGAGAGACACAAGAGCTCAAGGAAATGGCAAGACAGAAGGATGTGTGATGAGGATGAACCAGCAGATCTGAGTCAAGAAGTGAAAAAACATGAGTCCCAAACATGAGGCCAATGTTGGAAACATCGCCAGGGAAGAACGGGCAGTGCTGAGAAGAGACAGGAAGACAGGAAGAGAAAATACACCTAAATTACACGTAGGAGCGCACCCCATGATACCCCATCAGCACACAGGACTTTTATGTGTCAATTAAAAAATAAATATAAAAAAGATTTGGAAATCATGAAAAATAAGAACTGAAGAAATAGAAAAAAAGAAAATTAGCCAAAATGAAATGTAAATAAAGAGGGAAAATGATCAGTTGAGAAAATGACTAGACACTGAAGACAAAATAATAATAATAATAATATATCAGAGTAATTATTTAAAGACCATCTGAGAAAATTTTTCAGAAATAGGAGTTGCTGTATAGCTTGCAGGAAAAAGTGGCACAGGGTGTTTGTCCCCTGCTGAACATAACAGTTTTATTCCTGGGCTGGGGATGTAGCTCAAGCGATAGCGTGCTCGCCTGGCATGCGTGTGGCCCGGGTTCGATCCTCAGCACCACATTCAAACAAAGATGTTGTGTCTGCCAAAAAATAAATATAAAAATATTAAAAAATTCTCTCTCTCTTAAAAAAAAAGTTTTATTCCATGTCATTTATAGTGGCTGAGACCTGTGTGACCGAGGTCTGTGTGTGTCCCAAGAGTCTTCATTAATTCTCAAATCCCCTCCTCACTCAGAGGGTGGGACACTATCAATAAATGAGTGGAACAAAAATTTTTTATGAGTCTATAATTTTCTGGTTTGTACCTGTTGTCTTAACCTCTTTGTCCCCAAAGACTTTGTTTGCATCCTCGGCTGTTTGGTCACAGTGGCCAAGGAAGACGGGCTGCAGTGGGATGGGGCACAGCTCTCCTGGAGTCCTGCTGCCTCCAGGGGCAGAAGCCCCTCTCAGCCCTTAGTGACCTCAGGTACAGCCTTCCGTGCTCACAGTGCCCAATGCCCTGGCCACCCACCACCTGGCACCAGCCTTGACCTCTGCAGGACTGTGATGGCCTGAAACCTCACTGGGCTTCTGCTGGGCTCCTGAGACCCAGAAGCCCCTCTTCTCTTCTTCCTTCCCCTCCTGCCTACCCCCTCCTCTTTTTTCCCTCTAGGATTCCTTAAACTTCTTTTTTCTTTTAAATGATGAAAAGTTTCAATGCCAGAGAAATGCAGATACAAACGACACTGGATTTGCTGTTTGGATCCAGATCTCTCTTTAGACACAAGTGTGTAGCTGGGGCTCCTCCATCCCCGGCCTTCCGTTGTCTGCTCCCCCAGAAGAGCTCTGACTGCAGAAGCCAACGGGTGTCACATCCAAGCCTCTTTTACACCTCTACCTGTAAGAGCTTCTATTGAATGTGTCCTTTTTTAAAGTTGAAATTCACATAAAACTAACCATTTTAAAAAGAACAATTCAGTGGCATTCAGCACGTTCACAATGTTGTGCAAACAATACTTCCCCACGTTTTCATCTCTCCAAGAGTAAACCCCATGCCCACTACACAGATGTGACCACCTCGCGGCTTCTCAGGGCCCAGGCCCCTTTGTTTGGCTGAGTGTTCCATCCTGGTACCACCGCTGTGGCTTTGGAGGAGGGTGTGGCGGGGGGACTGCAGGGTTCCCAAGGTGGTGGTCCCCTAAGTGTAACGTGAGAGGCAGAAGAGCAGCCGACTAGGCACTGATTCCCTTTGATGGCACATCTTTAAACAGGCCATGAAGGTCCAAGTTCATTGTCCCAGGCAGGGAGGCCAATGTGGGAAGGTGCCTGAGCCAGTCAGAGCAGGGTAAGGACTGGAAACAGGGCCCTGACCCCTTGTGTTAAAATGAGTCTGTGGGACGTTGATCTATGAGGGAATTGGGTGTCAATACAAGGCCAACATGGGAAGAATTGATTACGTACATTTTCCAAGAGAAGAGGGCATGCGTCACCACGCAGGGCCACACGGGGACACACTGAGTCTGGCCAGGAGGCCACAGGAGCCAGAGGAAGGCCTGGGTCGCTGTCTGTGTGGTGTCTCCAGGGGAAAGGCAAGGCAGGGCGGGAAGGAGCTTAGGACTGGGGGCTTGAGTGGTTCCAGAGGGCCCTGGGCCATGGGCTATCCCTAGCCTGAGGGACTTAGAGATAAGAAACTTTGATAAAGGAGATGTTGGGGGTCTGGAGTCAGGATTAGTTGGAGGGTTTATGATTTTTTTTTTTTTCTTTGAGGCATACCCTTGCTATGTTGGCCAGACTAGCCTTGAACCTCTGAGCTCAAGTGATCACCCTGCTTCAGCCCCCGCAGTAGCTGGAACTGCACCCGGCTATAATTTTGGACACCCATGAAAGCTGTCAGTATAAACCACCTTAGCCATTCATGTGACCTTGGATGAACTAATGCCAACTAGGCAAATGATTCTAAGAAAACACACCCCTGCCCAGGGCTCTGGGCTCTGCTCTAGGCTCTTCTGAAGTCAGTGGCCCAATAAGACCCAGGAACCTTATCCCCCTCTTCCTCTCTATCCAGCTAACCCCAGGCGGTGCATTTGGTGGTTTCCTTTCTTCTGCTCCCTCGGGAGAAAAGCCAGCCAACTACTGACCTCTGGCACCCAGGCCTTGTGCTGCTGCAATCAGAAGTCCCCCTGGGGACAGCCCTGAGGCAGAAGCCTGGACCTCACACAGACGCAACCTCCCAACTTTATTGTGGGGCTGGAGCGCCCTCTATGGGGAGCCTAGGGAACAACGCATTTTAGTTTCCACCGCTTACTGAGTGGGACCGTTCAAACCAAGTAGTTAGGGCTCTGGGAGAAATTTCTCTTTCCCCACTAGTGCCCTTCGCGGAATTCACCCAGGTGCTGTTGATGAAAATGTATAAATCAAACGTCCACTGTGCACAGAGTACCCCTCCCACTTAGAAACAAGTCACGTACTGACCCAAATACCTGCTGCAATGAGCTTATTGGGTGAACCCAATTCGCAAGCTGCTAAGGTGATGAGCAGCATGTGGCCAAGATCAGACAGATCAAACAAGGGGGCTGGAAGAGTGGGAGGGGCAGAGGCAACCAAGGAGACCAGGGAGGGCTTCCTGGAGAAGGTGGCATCTGCACTGAGCTCTGAAGGGGAGCTGGATTTCAGAAGGAGAGGGACTGTGCCTTCCCCAGTGTTCCTCAGTGTCTGCCTGTCCCTCCCTTCTGCTCACCAACCACGGGAGTCACCAAGTCCCAGTTCCTCAAAATGCCTCAGAGGAACAAGGTAGCGTCTTTCCCCACCCACCTTATGCCCTAGACTGCTACTGAGCACTTGGGATTGGAACCCTGCACTTTGCTGCCTGTCCTGGCTCCACCTCTTCCCTGCCCAGTGACCTTGAAGCAACGCCTTGCTCACTCACTTTCAAGGGTCCCCTCTCCCACAGCCTCCAGCAGCTCTCTGAGTTCACCTTGGGGGTTTGAGAATCTTGATTCTTTTGAGAAAAGTTTGCAATGCTGAGATCCTGGCTCTGGCTTGCAGGGGGTCCAGGCCTTAGCCTTGCCCTCCATGCTGATTTAGGGGATCCTCCTTGCCTTCCCTCTTTTTTAGATTATTCCCCCATTCCGTGGCCATAAGGGGGCAGCAGGGAGCAAGCAAACACACACACACACACACACACCAAAAAAAAAAAAAAAAACCAAAAAAAACCAAACAAACAAACAACAAAAAAAAAAACCAAACAAACAAACAAACAAAAACCTCCTGATAGCAGCTGGGCCAAACATCGCCTGTCCTAGGGAGAGGAATATGCAACGCTTCTGTCCCCTCACGAGGTCCCAGACAGAGAAGCTGGCTGGGTGAGTGGTAGAACTGGAATGCAGAGACCCTAACTCTTTTCCTTCCTTCCCACGGTGTCCCAGTCTTGAGCTGGGCCTGGGCAGAGGGGCCTGGGGGTGGGGTGACCAGAGGCTCCTGTGCCCATCTCATCCTTAAGAATACACGTGGGTTCCCAGAGTGGCTCCTGCTCCTGCTGTAATGCAGGAGTTGAGACTGACAGGCACACAGGGGCATCACTGGGAGAGCAACCCTGCACCAGGGGCGGCGCCACAGCAGCCCCTGGGAGCTGGAGGGGATCCAGCGGGCGTGAGGTTGGGGCAGCGGCTCTGCTCGGACTGGGCTACGCTGAGTGGGGCGGGGATGGGGTCCGCTGGAGTCGGGAGGAACTGTGGGTCCCTGGGCCAGCCTGCCTGGGGACTGGAGGGGGGTGGTGGTGAAGTGGAGCAGGAGGGGCTGGGGCTGCAGTTTGAGCGGGGAGGGCAGGCAGGGCGCTGGCCGTGCGGGTCTCCCAGGGCTCGCGGGTGCAGTGGGCGCCGGGGGCTGAGCGGTAAGGGCGACGGGGCCAGAGCTGCCGGAACTGGCCTCCCTGTCCCCTCGCGCCAGGGAGCTCCCGGCACTTGCAGGAGAATCCCATGTGGAAGGAGAAGCCCCAGCTCAGGGCCGCGTGTGGCCAGACAGCGGCTGGCTAGAGGGGGCGACTGGGAGACTCGGGGGCTCAGAAGATGGGAAAGAATCCCCCCGAGGCTGCCCAGGACCCCCACCTGCCGGCACATACAGCAGACAAGAGGGACAGCCAGGGGCTGGGGCTGTCCTCCCGGCCACCCGCGCCCTGCTCCGCCCACACCTGCCGCCCCGCCCTCCCAGGTCCTCCCCTCGCCTCTGCTTGGTCTGCGGCGGCCACGCCCCCGTCGGCCTCCGTTTCCCTTTGTGACCTGGGCAGGCCGGGGCCCAGGGTCCTCTGAGGACCCTCGCTCAGTGAAGGCAGGAGTGGAAGTGTGGGCTGTGCGGTGGGGACAGAAGACACTGACCCAGGCTGGGGAGGAGACTTTATTCAGGGCTTTCATGCCCGCGGCTTCAGTCCAGCAAAGGAGCCAGGGTCCCCTGACTCCTCCCCTTTGTCCTTGTGAGGCCTCCCGGGCCCGGGGCTCCGGGTTGGGGTGGTGAACTCCCACACTGGAAGTCTCCAAATGGTCCGGAGGAAATCAGGGCTTCTGGGTGATGGGGCCAGGTGACTTCACAAGTCTCTGCAAGAGTCTAACTGCCTTCTTCACGTGCCTGTCCTTGGGGTCCGAACAGATGGACTTGCCCTGGGTGGTGACAAGCCTGCAGGGAGGGGAAGCCACAGGCTCAGTGGTCTCCACACTCTCAGGACCCCACCTCGGTCACAGCCCTCCCGGGGAGCCAGGGCTGCAGGACCTGGCGCCCACCCCTCAGACCACCTGTGCTCAGACCCCCTAGAGCCTGGGAAGCAGAGGAAGGGCCTGGGGCTCAGTTGTCCCCACCAGCTCAGGGTCAGGACAGGGAAGGACTGCATGGCCACTGACTGGCCCCTCAGACAGGCTGTGCCGCTGCCCCTGGGGCAGGCTGCTGGTCGAGGGGAGGAAGGGCCGCCCTCTCCTCCTTGCTCCCTGGCCATCCCCGGAGCGCCAGCAGCCCGCCACCTGCTCCCATGCACAGTCCCAGGAGCAGCAGTGGGCAGAGGGGACTTACACAATGGCATCCTTGGGACACTCGGCTGAGGTTCTGTACCAGGTCACCAGCTTTCTGATGGGAATGGCCCCCGTGAAGAACTCCATGCAGCACTCCCGGCCCACATTGGTGGCTCGAGCTAGGGAGACAGCAGGAGCCAGGGTGACCCCAGGGTCTGGCAGGGGGTCCGCACATGGTGACTGCATACGTGTCCCCGTGCCTCTGTCTGGGTTGGGTCCATGTTCGTGGGTCCGGGGGCACCTTGTCCCTAGTGTGTGTGCACCTGTGAGGCCTCGTGTGCCGTGGGGGGTCTGGTATATGTGTGTATCTCTTTATCTGTGTGTATCTCTGTGTGCACCTGTGTGTGTCTCTACCTAGCGACCTTTATTTCAGCTTTCTCAACTGAATATTTTATAGTTTACAAGATATCATTATTATAAAAATATTTTACATCTTCTCGTGTTCTTGGAAACAATTCTGCTGTCTCTATGCTGTTTCCCTCATTGTACATGAAACCCACCAATAAAGCAGACAGCTTAGAGGATGATCCTCTCTGCACTGTAATGCACAGCCCGGCCCGGTCCTCCTGGCCACTGCAGCTGAGATGCCTGCCCCTTCCCAGGCCACCTGTGCCCTGCTCTCACCTGCATGGATGCTCTGCAGAGAAGCCCCGAGGAGGAGGGCGGCCAGCAGCAGGGTCTTCAGGGGCGACATGGTGCCAGGAGCCCAGGAGAAGGTCTGGTGCCTGTCTCAGGGGAGATTGGGTGAGAGCCAAGCATGCAAGTGACCTATTTAACCTCTTTGGGGGTCTTGCCCCGCCTCCTGCTGCCTGCCTCCACACCCTTCCTAGACCAGGGTAATTCAAAGAATTGGAGATGATTCAGTAGAAGTCCAGTCTTGGAATGTTTGTGGCTTTCCAGAGAATGGACATTCAAATGGGGACAGAGGTGGGGTACATGTGTCCGGGGGCTAGAGCAGTGACACACTTCTCCTTTCAAAGAGGACATTTCTTGGTTCCTCTATCAGCAGAGCCGAGAGGCTGGGCTTGCTCCTGCCCCGTCTGCACGGGTGGTGTTAGATGGGCTCTCTAGAGGAACAGCCACAGGATCCATCGACATAGAAATACATCTGTATGTATATACGCACACACACTCAGAAGAGAATAAAAAGAGCTTACATGGGCAGCAGCTGGACAGTCCACAATGGCCGCCCACAGGCTGGAGAGGTGGAGGGAGCAACAGCTGCTAAGTCGAAGGAGCTGGAGCCTCAGAACCAGGGGGACCAAGGATGCAGCCGGAGTCCAGGACCGAAGGCCTGGAAACTCCCTGGGGGGGGTCACTGGTCAGAGTCTGCTTTGGAAGGTGAGCGAGCTGGAGACTGCAGTCCTCAGGTGACCGCAGCAGCCACCAAGCACCTGCTCAAGAAGAACGGAGCTTGCGTCTGCGCCTGCTTCCTAGTTCTTCTAACATTTTGTTCCTTCAAGGTCCCTACCTGTTGGTCGGTGCTGCCCACACTTAGGGAGGGTCTGTCCCTCAGTTTGCTGTCCCACATGCCAATCATTCCTAGAAACACACTCACCAACACGTCTAGAAGCCTCCTAAACTTAGGCCTCTCTCTCTCTCTCTCTCTCTCTCTCTCTCTCTCTCTCTCTCTCTCTCTTTGGTACCAGGCATTGAACCCAGAGGCATTTGACCACTGAACTACATCCCGAGCCCTTTTTTATATTTTATTTAGAGATGGGGTCTTGCTAGTTTGCTTAAGGCCTCACTAAGTTGCTGAGGTTGACTTCAAACTCATGATCCTCCTGCCTCAGCCTCCCAAACCACTGGTCTTAGTTATCTCTTCATCCAATCAAGTTGACAAAGATCAACCATCCCAAGTCCAACCCTTGTCAACTTGACACCCAAACATCTTTACATCACATCTAATCTCCAAATAAACACAACAGCAAGGCCATAATTCCACCCAAAATGACATAACTGTTCTTCATACAACTAAAAATACATTAGTTCCTTCCCCAGAACAGGAGGGGAAAATTTTTTTTCTTGACTAATGTATGCTTTTCTGATACCCCACAACTTTAATACTCTAATGTAGATGTACTATCATTTTGAGTACTGAAGTTAAATCAACCAATATTACATTACATGATGAAGGAATAAAAGGGGACGGTCACATGTCTACTGAATGCCTGTGTACACGTGCACAAACATTCTTAACAGAGAAGGAAAGAAATACGCATGACCATTACGGCCCTTGCTTCTGTGATGGGTGGCATGGCCGTAGTTGGTATTTATCACTATCTTCTACCACCCACTCTGTATTTCCTGGGCCTTCGGCAAGCACCTCAGCAGGTCTGGCTTCTTTACCTGGAGGTGTGACCCACGCCTTCGTTCCTGGAGGTCTCCTGCCAGTCATCCTGCCTGCAGAGGGTGGCTGTGGTTTCCCACTGACCTTGGTAAAGGACATGGTAATAGCAGGGGACGCCCCGGGGTCTCCTGTGCTCCAGGAGCGCCCCTCCTGGCCTCCGCTGTGGTAGTAGTCCATCTCCCCTTGGTCATCTGGATCAGTCCCCTGCACCCCCGCAGCACCACAACTCCTTTCTTAGCCTGTTGACTCTGGGGCACGAGGAGCCCAAAGTGGCCGGGGAGTCTCGACTCTCCGTTTAATGAAGTCCTGTGGTGCCTCCTGGGAGAAGCATGCCTCCTCCTGGAACTGAGGCTTCTAGGCCAGCAGAGCATACTGTTGCGGGGACAGTAAGCAGATGCTATGGGTCCCTAGGGATAGAGGGGAGTGGTCCCATTCCCATCGCCACCCCTTGATTTCTGGACCCATGATCCTAGCCACGGGAGAGACGGGACCCTGTAGCAGACGCTGATGCAGAGTATACACAGCCTTCGGGAGAACCTGGCTCCAGCCCTGCAGGACACTCCACCTGGCTGGCACTGTAACTTCATCTTCAAAGGCCAGTCCAGGGGGCTGGAGTTGGGGCTCAGTGATAGAGCGATTGCCTAGCTATGTGTGAGGCACTGCGTTCGATTCTCAGCACTGCGTACAAATAAATAAAATAAACGTCCATCAACAACTAAAAAAAAAAAAGATTAAAAAAGAAGGCCATTCTATCAAATCAGCTGCTTTTTATAGCCCAAATCTAATGGGGTCTCTGGGTCTGCAAGCTGCCTTGTTTGCGTACAGTGAATGGATCTTACAGTAGTGTCATCTTCTGCCTTCAGGCAGATGGGGCAGGGGTAATATGTGGGTTTCCCTTGCACCAGAACAGGTGGGGCTCGAGTATTCAGCCTTGAGTCGGGTGGAGTGTTCAGACTTGATGCAAACAGGTGATAAAAGACCAGACTGGGGGGGGGGGGGTGAGTGCGTGGGTTATCCTGCACCTAACATTCATTCAGCCTGGCCTGCTGACAACTTAGTTCAGTCTGCCCTGCACCTAACAATGGGGACATGGGAAGACCAGTGAATCTCCTGAGCAGGAGCCATTGCCTCACTTCTTGGGCTGAGAAGTGAGTTCCTTGGTCAGGAGCAACGCTGGGTGGGATACCAGGACAGTGGATGAGGCGTTCTGGAAGTCCCTGGATGGTGGCTTGGGCGGAAGCACTATGTGCAGGGAAGGCAAATTCATACCCAGAATGAGCATCTGTCCCAGTAAGGACAGACCACTGCCCCTTCTATGATGGAAGTGGTCCAACACAGTCAACCTACTACCGGGTTGCTGGCTGACCTCCCCAGGGAATGATGCCACATCAGGGACTGAGGGTCAGCCTCTGCTGCAGGCAAGCTGGGCACTCAGCAGGGGCTGTAGCCAGGTCAGCCTTGGTGAGCAGAAGCCCACGCTGCTGAGCCCAGGCATAACCACCATCCCTGCCACGGTGACCCCTTTGTTCATGAGCCCATTGGGCCATGTCAGGGGTGGCCGGGGAAGAGGTTGACTGCTATCCACAGACCCGCCATCTTAACCACTTGATTATTAAAATCCTTCTCTGCTGAGGCCACCTTATGGTGAGTATTCACATGGGACACAAATATCTTCACATCCTTTGTCCGTTCATAAAGTTCTAAGCACATACCTCTTCCCCAAATGTCATCCATTTTCCAATCATGAACTTTCCAGGTCCCTGACCAGTATCCAAACTGCAGCCCGTGAATCAGTACACAGTTGACATCTGATCCTTTTTCCTTCCAAGCAAAATGTACAACCAGGTTCACTGTGCAAAACTGCCCATTGTGAAGATTTCCCTCCACGACTGTCCTACAGGGTCGTCCCAGAAAGGGACAGTAGTGCTGCAGCTGTCCACTTCCAGGGGTGCCTGTCTGTGAACCAGACCTAGCCTTCTCTTCCTTTGTCAACTGATCATAAGGGACACCCCAGGAGGTCATAGGTGCATGCTGGGGGACAGAGGCATTGTAGCAGGAGTAGGAGCCATGGGCACTGGGCCACGTGGTGCAGCCTGTTCATGCCTTTGGGACCCACCGGGGCCTGATCATGTATGTACCTGTATATACATGGTTTGGATATGAGGTGTCATCCTAAAGCTCGTGTGTGAGCAAGGCAAGAACATTCAGAGGTGAGATGATTGGGTTTTGAGCCTTAGCCCCATCAGTGACTCAGTCCCCTGATGGGATAACTGAGTGGTGACTGGAGGAGGTGGGCGGTGGCTGGAGGAGGTGGCATTGGGGGTGGCTCTGGGGTATCTATTTTGGATCTGGAGAGTGGAGTCTCTCTTTCTGCTCTCTGATCATCACATGAGCTGCTTCCCCCCCCCCCCCCCCCACACACACTCTTCAGCCTTGGTGTCCTGTCTCACCCTAAGCCCCGGGGGATGGAGCCGGCTGCCTATGGACTGAAACCTCTGAAACTGTGAGCCCCTAAATGAACCTTTCCTCCTCTAAAATTGTTCTTGTCACAGGTGTAAAAAAGCTAAGACCGTACCCCTTCCACTGGGTGATGGACTGCTGCCCTGCGCGTCCAACTCCATGGCTTGGTGGGTCCAATAACACCTGGTTCATGATGGGCAGCTCAGGTCCCATAGTAACCTGGTGGCCCATGGTCAAGTGCTCAGTTTCCTCTAAGGCCCAGTCTCAGGTCAAGGGCTATTTCTCAAAGGGAGAGTAGTTGTCTGCAGATGATGGCAGGACCTTGCTCCCAGATCCCAATGGTCTCCTCTGTGATTCACCTACGGGGGCTTGCAAAAGGCTCCAGACAGCGTCCCTGTCTGCCACGACACCTCCAGCACAATTGGGTCTGCAGGTTATAGGGCCCAAGGGGCAGAGCAGTCTCCATGGCAGTCTGGGCCTGTTGCAGAACCCCCTCCTGCTCTGGCCACACTGGAAACAAGCAGGTTTTGGAATCGCCCAGTAGTGGGGCCAAAGTGACCCACCCAAGCGAGGACCATGCTGCCTCCAAAGTTCAAATAGGCCCACCAGGGGCTGTGCTTCCTGTGTCTGCAGGAGGGGCCAGATGCTGCAACTCTGCCTTAGGAGGGGGGTCGTACACCACAGGCCTCCTAGAAACCTTACTGAGGTTGAAGACCCTTGAATTCTAGTGGGATTTATTTCCCATCCTCTGAAAAATGCTTCACTAACAAGTCCAGAGTGGTGGCTACCTTTTGCTAAGTAGGTCCAACCCATACACATCATCCACATAAAGGACCCACATGATACCTCATGGAAGAGAATGGTGATCAAGATCTCTGTGAACTACCAGGCGTGGTAGTGCACACCTGTAAT